AGAGAATGTGAATTAAATCAGTATTTTCAGAAGAACAACACTGGGAAAACACAATTACACGTTAAAGCAGATCCAGTCACAAAGCAGTCTATTTCTGAAATGCAATTCAAATACAGTGAGCATAAAAATAACTGATGCTGATATGAAGATCTTATAAAATCTTACTATAAACAGTAGTTTATTTACAGATAAACCAAACTCACCCTGTGAAGACAACAGTGCGAGTGCCTGTCCTCGGGGAGGAGAAGGGACAACGGAGCAGTTCCTTCTCCCTCTTGATGACACTAAGAATGACTCTCCCCAAAAGAATGTTCCCCATGTTTGAGTGCCCATCCTGGAGTCGTAAATATAGCGTCCGGCCGTGCCACCGCGGGGACAGTGTGGAGACCCGACGGGGCTGCTGCCGTGGCAACTAACCACAGGCTCCTGTTCAGATCAGGCAAAGCATCTTTGCCAAAAGGTGTAAGGAAAGACAGGCGTCTCCAAAATTCAGGCATGAGGGTATTGGATTATCATCTGCTCATTGAGGATAGAAGCTCACAAAGCATCTAAAATGAATGATGAATATTTTAGTCTCCTGTAGGAATTTCCCTGATGTTAACGTTACTATTGCTGCTATTGAGTGAAATTGTTTGCTTTGACATCTCTAGTGAATGCCAACTCCAGCCAAATCATGTCAGTGTATAATTAGATGGGGAGCTCACAGCAGCTCTCATGTCTTGGTTGGCTGCAGCTGCTGCACTTCCCTTACTGCAGGCGAAGGAAACCTTGCTGCTGCCAGAACACTGAGCACCCAGGTCCAGCTGCCCGTGGTGGTATCTGAGCCTCTGCGGTGGGGTAAAACACCAGTGGCTGCTGGTTTGCCATTCATTCGAGGCAGGTTTGTGGTTTTGGCATTCACTATAAACATAAACTCTTCCCAGCAACGTGAGAAGTGGGGCCTGGTTTTTGTGGTGTTAGAAGGAGAAATGAAGGTTTGAACGTAGTGAAGCTCTGGGGCTGCAATACCAGCTTGTGAGCCAGGTATTTTCCAGCTACGTGTTATTAGAGGATCAGCACATCAGTCGTGGGCTTCTCAGGGCTGCTGGAAGTCTGGAACAGGATGTGTGCAAACAGAAGATTGCCATGCTGGATGAAGCTGAAGGTCTGTTCAGCCCAGTGTCCTGCCTCGAGAGTGGCCTGTAGCTTGTCCTGAGCTGGAATCAGTGCTTTATTATTTCTAATAATCTTATCCTTTTCTGAACACTCTTTGGTTCTGGCCTCCACAGGGTCCTGTGTAAGTGGATTCCACCACCAAACCTGGCACAGTTGGAGGCACCCTACCTGTATCGGTAGGATCCATTCCTAAGAACTGATGTTTGCTTCATCATCAAAATAAAACCAAGATGAACCCCAACAGGATCATTCTCCCCTCAAGCCCTGTGTGTATGTGAAGCCCTGCTGCTCCACACACAAGGGCTTCTGTGTGAAGTTGATTTAGTTGCTCTGTGTCCAATATTCCTAAGAAAGCAATGAAGAGGAGTGGCTGGGCAGGCATGGCTGAGTATGATCTGGTGTAAGCTGAGCTGTCAAGGTGAATGTGCTCTTTTATTGCTTTTGAACAATTGCGTGACCACTCGAGTGCTTTCCTGCGTTCGTATTATGAGAAGTAATGAGTAATTATCATCTGTTCTGCCTAAGATTAACAATTTCCTTAACCTCGTGTCAAATCAACCCTCTGTTGCGTGTTTTAAGGAGAAGAATTTTAGCTTCTCTCTCCATCTGAATGGTGACCGCTTTTGTCACCTTTTTCTCACACTAATGTCCTCTGCTCATGTCTCACCGCTCTCATTATCTCAGCCTGAGAAGGAAGGAGATGTTCATGGACAGTTTAAACCCTCTGAACCAAGCGTGAGGCCACTGCTGCACTGAATCTCCTGTCACTAACAGCAGAGCTGGTAGGCCAGTGTGGTGCCAGAGCTGAGGTACAACCTCTGCTGTACCAGGGCGCCCAGGACTTTCAGAGCTGCCCCATAGCTCTGCTTCATTCCGCCTCCAGAATTCGGCACTTTCAGTTTGTTCCCGAGGGAGATTTTCCTCCACGGACGTGTTAAAAAGTCATCAGTGATTTTTTTATAGTCTTTAAACAGGGCACCCTTCAGCGGCAGAGCAAAGGAGGGACAGCACGAGCCTCAGCGGCGTGTGCAGCCCTGTGCCGGGGCAGACACGGCTCCTGGGTTGAGCCGGGAGGACAAAAGGTTAATGGTGGCGATCGGGGGACAGCTGCCGCATGTGTGCTGATACCCCTGTGACAACTGGGACTGCAGTGCTCACCTGTCCTCGGCCTGGGAATTAGCATGGCCTTTGTGCGAGGCACTTGAGTTCTTGTTATCTAGAGCTATTGAAACTGTTATCTGGAAAAGTCAGGATAAGGAGGAGCAGGCTGCTGTAAGGTAGGGATGGCTGATACAGGGAGGCCTTTGAATCCTGAATGTCCTTACACAGATGGGACAGTCGTGTCCTGTACCTGTTTGCTGTGATGCCTTTTGACACAGACAAGTCTGTCAGTTTGATTCTGAAAAGCCATGAAATGAAGGCAGTAAAGTCAGGGCATGGTGATGGGGGTGGACCAGCACTTTCCTCACACAGCCACAATAAAGTTCAGTGATGGCAACATCTCTTTCCAAGTCTGTCCAAAGAGGAATAGTTTTAGAAGGGATGATCTTCCTGTTAAATTTAAGAGGTGACTCATGAGACAAGAATCAAACTCCTCCTGCTTAATATATCAAGGCCTAAAAGACAATAACTCATCCATGATCAGAGCAGGAAGTTGGGAATATAGCTGTCAATCACTTCACATGCGCTCTAAAAACCTGGTCCCCGGCTTTCTGTGCCCCGGTTCCCATCTCGCCTCCTGGGCCACCAGGATGATAGTTTATTACAGGCTGGATGTGATCAGACTGTGTGACAGGGCTCTGCTGAGGGACTTGAAAAGGCTTTTAAATGGAAAATGAATTTTCTAGCTGTATCTTCAAATGCCCTCCTAAGGCCCCCTCCCCTTTCACACTATGCTGCCCTTACTAAGCCGGTGCTGAGGGTCCTGTTTCACAACAGGAGCCAAAATGTTGTCATTGTGGCATTTGATTACTCCCTGGGTAGCGTCCCTGGGAATGCTGTTGACACAAGATATGCAGCTCACAGGCAACTCTGACTAAGGTAACTGGCATCACTGGCTTGTCCTGCAGCCGCTCCGGGGGGAGCTGGAGGGTGGAATGTTATGGGGGGGTCTCACACCCGTGGGGAACAGCACAGCTGGGCTCTGCGCCGGCGTTGCTGGGTGCTGAGGCTTTGGTGCCATAGTTTGGACGCAGTACATGAAACAGCTCAGACGACATTCCACAAAACCTTTGATCCCGAATGGCATGAAGTAAAGCTGACACAATGGAAACGTCCTTGCTGCCCAGAGCGTGCACATCCTCAGACCAGTCATACCCAGTGCCGGGACAGCTCCGCACCGCATCTGGCATTTTCACCGTTTGGCCTCATCAGCTTTGTTCGTTACCAGTGCTGGAGTCAGGGGCTGAACTTTTGCCTGTGAAGGTTCTGAGACTAATCCTGTAATGCTGGGTTGAGTCATCAGACCCCTTTCCTTCATGAGACTATGGTTTATTTGCAAAATCACTCCAAAACAAGCGGAATTTGGGCTTTCGCCTCAGCTCCCCTGGGCTGCGAGAACACGTGAGGGGCTCACGGTGGGAGCAGGTGAGCTCTGCTCTGTCAGCCTTTCCCTGGCCATGCCTTCCAAGCGAGTGCTTCCCATGCCACTCGCAGCCAGGATCATTCGTGCAGTTTCAGTTCTCTACAACGGCTGTCATCACACACTCCACTTTTTCACCACACCAGTGGAAATCAGCAGGCTGAACTCTGCTTTCCCCTTAATGAACCAATTGCCTGCTCTGTCCCCCGGTAAACACCATTTCACTTGCTTTTGGTAAAGGTGCAGTGCTAAAGGAATTTGTCTCTCAGTTTCCACTAGGTTTGGTTTATTCCAGCCCTGGAGGTGGCTGCATTGGTAACAGGGGCAGGGGAGGGCTCAGCAATCCTTTGCCATGCAAAGGGAGCACGTTCCTCATCCACAGTGTCAGTGAAGGGTGGGAGGAAGCAGCTCAAGACCTCCCTAGTTTCCCTCACAGATTACTGAGTGCATGAATTGAGATTGGTGTGAATTACGACTGAGGGTTGAACGGAGAGTCATGTAAATCCCCACGTTCCTGCCTCTGTGGGATGTGCTCCTGGCTGCTTTGTCCCGGGGGATTTTAAGGGAACGTGTGTCTGTTTCAGGGAAAGAAATGAGCAGCAGCTGAGAAATACACCCAGGCAGGGCCCAGACTGCACTAATCTGTGGCAGAGATGAGAATGGCTTTGTCTGCTGTCCTGGGTTCAGCAGTAGCTGTCGTGTTTCTCCTTCTTGATAGCTGGTGCAGTGCAGTGTTTTGACTTTCAGCTCGGGAACAGAGCTGATAACAAGAATGTTTTGGTTTGGCCAAGGACTTTGTGAGCCTCATGCTCTGCCAGGGAGGAGGGGGAGCCAGGAGGAAGCAGAGACAGGACACCTGACCCAAACTGACCAAAGAGGTATTCCATACCACAGCACGTCATGCCCAGGAGGTAACTGGGAGTTAGCCGGAAGGGCTGGGAGACGGCAGGGTTGGAGGAGGTATTGGTCAGAGCTTGGTCGGGCTGGGGGGGCGAGTTATTGGTCGGCTGGTGGTGAGATGATGTATTCTCTTCCCTTGTTATTTCCTTTATCATTGTTATTACTGGTGGTAGCAGTAGTGATTTGTGTTATACCTTAGTTACTAAACTGTTCTTATCTCAACCCGTGGGAGCTGCATTCTTTTCGATTCTCCTCTCCGTCCCTCCGAGAGCAGGGGGAGGGCAAGAAAAGGGGGGGAAGTGAGTGAACAAGTTACTTGACTGGGTTTAAACCACGACATCTGCCCACAGGCGTTAATGGGCACAGAACTGCTGCACCAGGAGCTATTTGTACAGCTTCCGTGGCTGCTTTAAAGGCAAAGTCCACTTCATGGCAATAGCCTGTTGTTTTGCACAAAGCATATATCCAAGGGTAGAACACCAACAGACAGTTGATTCTTTTACTGTACCATGATGAATTTAATGCTTTTAGGTTTGCGTATGTCTGCACCTGAATTCAAAGGATGGGTATGTCTTGGACCTGGGTCCTTGTGTTGGTAAAGAGCAAACACGGTTTCTGTTGTGAATTTTGCTAATTCAGTAAACTGAATCTGGAATTTGAACTTGAATCTTAACTCAGCTTTTAAAGTAGTCCAATTCATAATACATGTGAAGAGTATACAAGAAATAAAGGCCTGTTATTTAAGTGCAAAGATACAGTATTGCAGCGTGCCAAGAAGGATTTAAATCAGCAAGGGTAACCGTCTCCACAACAGAACAGGGGGAACAGCCTGACAGCCAGTAACACAGCCAAGGTGAGTTGTGTCTCTGTGCATTGCATGGCTTGCAGGGTGGGCTGCCATTCCATACAAGCAAAGTAATCTGGAATTCAGTGTCATTAAGGCAGCTTAATAAAACTCCGTGTTTTCATCCTGATCCCACAGTACTTTTAAGTCCAGGTCTTTGAACAGCATAGTGAGAGGAGTGCTGCTGTCCCGGCCTGTGGCAGTGTCTTGGGACACAGCGTTGCCCAGTTTTGTGCAGCTGAGCCCCTTTATTGCTGTTAACGTTTCCATTTCTTGAGTCTCTGGGAACTGCAGTTTATTTGCAGGATGTGAGAATGAACCTGGCAACACCCAGCGCTCCGGGGTGCGCTCCGCAGGGAAGCTGTTGCCAGCACTGACTGAGAAAAGGAGAGCTTCTGACAGGGGTGACAGCAGCTTGTCCTCCAGAGCACAGTCTGTGTCAGCTGTCACTGCAGGCACTTCTGCTGTCTGTTTTCTGTAGCATCCTCCTTGTTCCGGCAAAGGCAGTGGCAGCCGGGATACCAGCACTTTCCTTCCCATCCCGTCAGTCTGCAGCAGCAGCTGCTGTGTTTGCTGAGGGCTCCCCTCTAAGAGAACCGTCTCCCCTGTGTCACTGCTGTCCCACAGTGCCAGGTTTGGTCCCTGTTCTTTGTAATTCCCATGGTCGTGGCTCTTGCCCAGCACCTGTGTTCTGAGCTTCCCAGCAGCAGAACAATCCGGAGGGACCCCCTTCAGCATTTGCTTTGGCTGCACATTCTCCTTGTCCGCATGGTCTGTGCTGTCGACACACACCCCATAGGTGAGGGGCAGGACTTTGCTGGATGTGGCAGTGGGAATGCTCTGCAGGACTTTGCTGGATGTGGCAGTGGGAATGCTCTGCTGGTCTCCGCGGGGAGTGTAACCCATGGGAGCTGCAGTGGCCACACAGGGCGGCTGCGCAGGCAGCCAGAGCGTGGGCACATCCGACTGCTGCCGGTACGGAGTCTCTGGTGGACGGGAAGACCATGGTGGCTCCGGTGCTGTGTCCACATGTTGGCTGATCTGGGGTAGCTGCGCTTCAGAGATCAGAAGTGAAGGTTTGGATAAATTAATGGGCTTTATAATATGCTCCACTGTCAGTGTGAGAGGCTGGAACGACGAAATCCCTCTGAAGTCCTGTTGACATAAATAGAAAGACATGAGTTATTAACAGGAAGCTGTGATTTTTAGAAGTTTGCTTTAGATTCTGTAAGATTTTCTTTGGGGAAATATCAGTAAAAGCCAGGAACAACCCCCAGGGATCTGCTCTGCTGGCAGAAGGATTCTGTTTTTTTTTCCTGGGGAATGACCCTTCATAGGAATACAGACCATGCACCCTTGTTGGGCAGCAACGCTGGGTAAGTGCCTGCACGGCATCCCAGCCTTCCAGAGCTTTGCTGCAGTGCTTCAGAGCACTTACCAGAGACATGGGCTGTGCGCTCTGCTGCTTGACGTACTTGTAGATCCCAAGGCTAACGGCAGCAAACACTAGTCCAGTGCAGAGGGCGAGTGCCACGGAGCAGTACAGGAGCCACGTGTGGTCTGGTTAGTGGGGCAGAGAACAAGTGGAAAGGTAGCTTCAGAGGGCTGGGTTAGAAGAACCATGAGATGAGACGAGTGATGTTCTAAGTCTAGGCTCATAGGACTAGATTTTAAATTAGAGAAGTCAGTGCTGCTTCAGTATCTTTATCTTAAACCAGCTGAAAATCAGTCCCTTTTGTGTATCCAGTATCCCAGCTGGATTTTTAAGTTAGCAGAGTCAACAGCCTCACCTGCTAGTGTTTTAACCCAAAACACTTGAGATTTGCTGCTTCTCTGGAGGAGAGATAAATATACTGTTCCATTATAGTCAGTGTCTGGGTCCAAGTTGGAAACTTCAAATTCTTTGTTGTGCTCATTCTTTGTCCACTGTTTACAATAAAAGCAAATTCTGTATTTTAGAGAGATTAAATACATACATTTTCTTCAGATTGCAAAATTCAGCATCACGTTTTGTTTACTAAGAAGATGCTACAGGACTAGAATTCTATATATACAGGATCCGAAATATATCACTTGCTTTCACCTGTTGCTCTATTGAATTTTTACATTTGAGTTCCTTAAGACTTGCACTGCTTCAGTGGTTCTTTGGTTTAGTCCCATACCCTGGGAATCTCCAGTTCTTTCCTAGAATTTTAGAGGAATTCTGGAATCTTTTCTGGAATTTTAGACAAGTTCCTCTTGTCTACTGCGAGTCAAAGACTCTGACACTTTCCCTTGCACATGAGAAACCCATTCATCAGGTGAAAGCTCTGAGAGTCTTACGTGAAATGTGACATAGGAAAGTCAGTGGCTCACGGCCAGAGGTTGTGCTTTACCTTTTGGTGTGTCCTTTGGTTGAATATTGTTAAGTGATATTCCACAGCACCAAATTTGCTACAGACATCCTCTACGGTTAGCTGCTGCTCATCCTCGTCTCTCAGCGGAGTGTAGGGGGGCTGGATAAGGAACTTTATGGAGTGTACATACGGAATGTACTCCACTGCTGGTGCTCCAATAACAGCTGGAAAAGATAGAACAGGCAGCTGAAGTTAAAGCTGATATGTTACCAGATCATCTTGTGTGCATCTCTCCTCAGGCTCACTGCCCATACCAGCCTCCCTCAGGCCTTCCCTCCCTTCCCAGCCAGCACGGAGTGCTGCACTACTGGAAGGAGAGGAGGCACTGTTCTGACCCTCAGCAAGACTTGGAACGCAGCCCTCCCAAGCAGGATGACAGCTGTCGGCAGGGGTACGTACTCTCTTTCCTGGGTTCAAATCTTTCTGAGCGTACCCAGTTGGAGGAGCAGTGGCTCTGGGCAGTGGCCCTCACCCTGGCGTAGTAGTGCTCCGTGAAGTTTTCTGTTTCACGAGTGAGGTTGCAGAAGGGCTGTGTGATGCTCTGGCACTCAGGCTTGTTCAGCCAGGATTTTTCTCCATACCTTAGGACAAAAAAAGCTGTTAGTCACTTTTGTACAACAGAAGCAATTCAGCCCTCCTCTACAATGACCCAAACAGGCTGTTTTACCAACTCTTAGTGGTTCTTAAATGTATTGTTGCAATCAGCGAGTGGCAGGGGATGGGCAGGCAAAGGAACAGGGGAACCTCCCCTGGACTCCAGCCTGTTCTGGCTGCTGGCTTGTGTGTGGCGATCGCCTTGAGGAAGTGCAGCTTGTTGCAAGGTATGCACGGGAGTGTCCTGCGAGTCAGTGGCTCTGGGGCTCTCTGCCCAGCTCTGACACTGGATGATTACTGCGGGTTTGCTGCAGGGTTTGCAGACCGCCCCGAAGGACAGGGCTATTGCGCAGCGCTGGTCTGGTTTCGCTTAATTTTAGGGACTGAACCAGAGAAAGACATTTGCTATTACTGTATTTACAGGAAACTGCAGCAGAGAGAGAAGGAAGTTGCTGAAGGCAAAGAGTAGCTCAGAAATGGAGCAGAGTTGGCAACCCAAGATGTGAAACTATTTGCTTAACTGGGCACCATCTACCAGTTTAAATAACCCTGTCTTGTACTGAGTTCTTGTCTGAGCAGAACCGTTTCCGTAACAGTAAAACACGTGGCAGGAACAGCAAAATCTGCTTTTCTTTCTTGGGCCTTTTCTCTCTGAGAACAGTGTCCCCAGGAATAACAGCACTTCTGAGAGAAGCAAACTTCACATACTGCTTATATTGGACATCAAATGTGGTGCCAGGGGGAATGTCTGCTTCTGTTTCCCATATCAGGATGTTCTCAAAGTTTGTAGAAGAAAATGCTGCACGTTTCAGACATGATGACCTCTGTGTAGTCACAATGCCTACGGAGCAAAGAAACTAGTGTTAAAATGCATAATGTGGCATCCCAGCCCTCAGCTGAATGTGGGCCTGGTGCTGTTCAGCCTCTTAGCCAACAGAAGTACCAGGCACAGCACCTCCAGTTTGGTAAAGGTGGGCTGCATAGCAGACGCTTGAATGGGACAGGACTTGAGACCCTGCACACAGCACTGTAGGTACCTTGCAGATTGTTGATTCGTCACCAAAAAATGTAAGTCAGGAATTGTTACAGAACCTCAAAACCTCATGAGTCAGAAAGAGAATCCTTCCGTTCCTTGTCAGCTTTCTTTTAAAGCGATTAAATAGCTGGAAACCCAAGAACAGTAACCTGTTTTCAGGGCTGGATTCATGGCTGTGAATGTCTCTGCTTTCTGCCCATACTCAGGGAAGTGACGTGTTGTGATGAGTCTCACATCACTGAAGCTGTGACTGCCGCTAACCTCCAGTGCTCCGTGTTTGCTTGGATGGAGCCTGCCTGCTCACAGCGATGTGCTAAGACCCAACGCTTGGACTCTGATCTGGGTGTGCCGGCGTGAAGGCAAACAACTCACTCAGCTCCCAGCACGCGAAGCCCTGTGCCTCTTCCCTACGGAGGATGGGTCCTGGCTCTGGTAAGAGATGCCACTTGCCCCTGACAAACACGCCCCTTGGCTGAGCTGCCTCTAGAGCAGAACACCCCGCCATCCACCTGCAGCAAACTGCCTCTGAGCAGGCACCACAGAGGAACCTTCAGAATCTGTAAGCTGTTTAAATTCGAATTGCAGATGTGTCCTCAAAGGGAAATACTTTGGACATTACTCAGCTCTTGGTTTGCAGTATGGATAAACACCTTGAACACACCCGGCCTTCAGCCTGCCCTAGCTGGAGACAAACAGTCCCATTGTGGTGGTGGTGGTAAACAGACACTCCAAATCAGTGAGTGCCCCCATGAAAAAGTGGTGTGGTAAGTAAGTAAAAGCAGCACCATTTTACAGATGGGAAAACTGGGGACCTGAATGGGGGTGACTTGGGCAAGATCACACGGAGCAGTTGCGGTAGAGGAGGGACTAAAGCCCATCAGTTCCTGGACCCTCACTCCAAGCATTCCCTCCAGCTGCCTCTCTAAAGGTGGAGAGAATTAGGCAGAGCAGCATAGACCCAGTTCTCAGTCCTGTGTCTGGCATTTGGGAAGGGAAGCGGCACTGAAATGGATTGCAGTCTGCTCTGGCTTTTGCTCTGAGCTCATCTGCAGTTCAGCCCTTGCAGTTCAGCTCATGGAAGACTCAGCACAGGATTCCTGGCAAGGCCGAAATGCAGCAGTCAGTCCAAAGCAAGTGGATTTCCCTGTGTGAGTTCCATGAAAACTGAGTCACCAATGCTCTCATTGTTTTTCCACATTTATCCATACTAAAACACAGTTATGCAAAGCAGTTAACACAAGCACAGTCAAGTGTGGGCAGGGAAAACCCGGGATATTCCCCAGCATTAAAGTCCCTCTGGTTTAGAAGTTTCGGAAGGTGCCTTCCCGCCAGTGCAAGATCACCAGCACAAGAGCAGATGATGATAAGGTTTCTTGCGGTAAAGGTGGCATTTGAAAACATAGCAAGTTTATCCCTTATTCACCTGGAGCGAGTTTGCCACATGTGGAGTAGGTTTAAATGGCTTTTAGGGATCCCTTGTTTGTATCTCGTTTGGAATTTGGCCTGTTCATTTGTGTCTCTGCTTAAGACTCATGGGGACTGATTCAAACCTTCCCAAGTCAGTGAATATCCTTTACTCCTGCAGATTTGGGTTGTAACATCAGTGGCAAACACTTTGAAGTTAAGTGCTCTTTTCTTCTCCCTATTAATCCTTGGAACACAGAGCACACCCAGAGTACCTTGAAGGTTTTAAAAGGAGAGGAAGGCAGAAGAGAGCTTTTGTACAACCTCAGGCAACAGCTTGTTCTCCAGGTCTTGTTTCAGTAAGCACTATTGGGCTACTTCCCATGCTACAGGATCAAACTGAAACAACCATCATCAGTGACAGGAGAATCAGGACTTACCGACCACTGAAAGTGCAGCTAAGACGATCAGCAGCTTCTTCATGAATAGCTGTGTGAGCTGGGCTGGGGAGCAGGCAGCCGGTCTGCGTGCAGGTGAATCACCTTCTCCAGGAGCTGATCTTGTGAGGAGGCTGTGCTGGATTTGTTGCTCAGTAACAGGCTGCGGAGCTGCTGAACTGCCGCACGCACACCTGAGATCACCGGCTACAGGTCTGTGCGCATGTGTGAGAGCAGCTGAGAGTGCCAAGAGCAAGAGGAGCACCTCTCCCTGCTGGGCGCGCACACCTCCCTGTACAAAGGTGCGCAGGCCAGAGGCTTAGAAAATCTCCAGCTTTTGAAAGAGAGCCAAGTGCCATTTTGCTGACAGCTTCCTGCCCCAGCGCCCTCACGGAACTTTCTCAGGTTTGGGGCTTGCTTTTCTGAGCGGGTAACTTCGCCTCACAAAACTCCAGAAATTCAGCCTTAGTGCTGTGCTCCTCTTGGCTGGAAACTGCTGGGAGCAAGCCCCCATTTACTTAAGAAACACCGTCCAATAACTTTGTAAAAGGAAGGTCAGAGGACCACTGGTTTCAAGCTCTCCCACTGTCCTCGTCGCTCTCCTCAAGCCCGGAGGGTCTCTCTTGGCATGGGAAGAAGTCACCTTCCTGCAGGAAGAGCCCGTGCTGTCTGTGGCTGTTCTCAGAGGCCAGTGTAGACCTACAGTCCATTCTTGTGGCTGCTTGCAAGACAAAGCTCTACTGAGTGTCCTGAATGCTCTATGCAAAGAACTGTAGGCTTGTGTGAAATCTAACACGAAAGAGATGCAGTTCCTGTTCCATAGCAGGCTGAGTTTTACAGGGTGGTAAGTTACATTTTCAGGCTTTACTCAGAAGAGGGAGAGATGTTTCCTTCTTCAGTGAGAAGTGGAAGCTAATTGCCTGTCCCCAGATGTGGATCTGGAACCACCAGATGTGTGTAACCTCCGAACAGCTGCTTCTGCTTCCCAGGATGGCAGAAGGGGAGAAAGCCTCACCCGTGCAGCCTGCATTTGAGGCTTGGGAAACTCCTGTCACCACTGCTTCTCCATTTTTATGTTACAGCTGTTCTTATGCCACAAACTGGGTTACCTCCTCCCTGGCTTACTTCTCTGGTTTACTCTTACCCCATGGTCATAACTGCTCCCTAAATGGGGAGGTCCTGTCCACGGTCCTCTGTTTTGCCTAGGATTAACTGGACCACTGCATGAAGATGAGGTTCCACCAAAGCAAATCCAACTGGATTGTCTCTTGGAGCACTGAGAACGTTCATGTTGGGATTGCTTCAGCCCTAGAAAACCTTTAACAGGAATACCCACCCTAAACCACAGAGGCCAGCTGTGCACTAAACAAATTCTGCTGTCACTGTTCCAGCCTTAAGGCCAAACATGATAGAGGAAGATCAGGGGACTGGAGCACCTCCTGTATGGAGACAGGCTGAGAAAGTTGGGGCTGTTCAGCCTGGAGAAGAGAAGCTGCGTGGAGACCTCAGAGCAGCTTCCAGTGTCTGAAGGGGCCTATAGGGATGCTGCGGAGGGACTCTTCATTAGGGACTGTAGTGATAGGACAAGGGGTAATGGGTTAAAACTGAAACAGGGGAAGTTTAGATTGGATCTAAGGAGGAAATTCTTTCCTGTAAGGGTGGTGAGGCACTGGAATGGGTTGCCCAGGGAGGTTGTGAATGCTCCATCCCTGGTGGTGTTCAAGACCAGGTTGGACGAGGCCTTGGGTGACCTGGTTTAGTGTGAGGTGTCCCTGCCCATGGCAGGGGGGTTGGAACTGGATGATCTTAAGGTCCTTTCCAACCCAAACTGTTCTATGATTCTAAATTGCAGCCTCTTCTGCTTACCTCTTCATCTCATGGATTTTCTGTCCCTGAAGTTCCCTGCCTGCTCTGGGATTGATAGGGCTGTGCTCTTCCAGCCATGCCACTGCTGCATAGCTGTCAGTTTGTCTTTCTCCTCTCACTTGGACAAATGCAGAGAGGCCTCACAGATTTACTACACAGGACACATCTACCCACCAGCATGGCCAGCATCTCCTTAGGGACAATGTTTCGTCAGGATGTTCCTACTTGCTAAAAAGAGGTCCATTCTTTCCTTCCCTCATGCTTCTGCTGCGAAAGGAGCCAGGAGAGGGCAGAGGTGCAGTGCACGTGAGACTTCAGTTTTAAGGCTATAACTTAAAACTTTATTTCTGCCTGCCCTTCTCTACTTACTTTTCAAATAGCCCAGGATCCACCTCTCTGAATCTTTTGGTACCTGAACATCTCCAAAAGATCCCAGTGAAGAAGGCATGCAGCAGCGGGATGCAGCCCTTCTGGCCCCAGCCTTTCCTGCAGTTCCATCCTGACAAAACCTGGACAAGACAAAGAGCTGATCCCAGGCCCTGTTTGCAGAGCTGAGACATGCCAAAATAATTCTGTAGAGGTTGCACAACTTCAGATCTTCCTGTAACTCAAAGCGTGGAGGTTTTTCCTTGATTGCACAAGAAGATGGGTGGTGACTATGGATGGTCTGTATCTTTCTAAAGGAGCTGGAGGGATTGCAGTGCAGGAGGTACCCAGGACACTTTGTGGAGGACAGATAAGAAAGAAAAGCAAAGTTCTAGTTAATAAATCTTTTCTCCCACCTCCCCTTTTTACTTTACTTCAGAGCCTTCATTTGCACATCTCCTTTCTCAACCCCTCCTACCACCCCTGCCTCTCTGCTTGTTCTCTGGATTCCCTGAGGATGTCAGCTTCAGTACCCACCCTCAACACCCTTTCCTCATCCAACTCTGAATCCAGAGAATGGCTGTTGTGTGCCCCCATCTTACTTTTAACCCTTTGCGTTTCTGCCTGTCCTTTTACTGCAATGAAATGAGGGAGTTTGTTTCTGTGGGATGTGAAATACACTGAAAAGATTGGTACTGCTCGTGCCTCCCCTGTGCCTTTTGCTTGTGAACTTCTGATCAGATTCTTTGCTCAGAGAACTGGTCACAGTCCTGGGCTTCCAGTGACCCAAAGTGATATGGCCAAGAAGCTCCTGGGATGCCACTTCCAATAGGAAGCCCATAATGGGGTCCTGATTTAAAGTGGGATGTTTGTCAGGGGAGATACCCTCACCCTCTGTAGTTCTGGGAAACAGAAAACCACGCACACACGGAGTTATGTACCAAAATGTTATTGCCTCTGCATCAAGCAGCTCTCAGCCTTTCTGCACCGCAGGGGGATTCCACCTTCGGAAAGTGTGCTTGTGTAACCCCCACATAAATACACACACACACACACACGTGTGCACGCTTCTCACTGTGACTTCACTCTCTTGAAACAGAGAGGACCCTGGGGAGGTGTCAGTGCGCGCTGCTCCGCTGGCGGGGTCAGAGCCATCGCACCTTACCACGGCTGAGTGGTACAGAGGGATGGTGAGCATCACTCGTTACCTAGCACCAAAAAGAACCCTTTTGTCTCCCTAAAGCCACATGCCTCGATAGGCCAGACATCAGTAGAAACTCTGGGTGAATAAATACAGAAAGCACCTCTGTCTATCCTTGCTCTCGTTTGGGTATCCCTGCCTGGATACCTGGAGCTCTCCAGCATCGGCCTCACTGCAGAGCTGCTGGGGCACTCTACCTCCTTCCCATGTAATGTGTGTGCTCGTAGCCTTTGAATTTAAACTTGTGATCGTATTTTTCCTCCATATTTGAAGTTTCAGATGGATCCGTGAGCACTGTGGGTGTGGGGGGTGTCCCCTCCATAAAGCTCTCACTGTCACAGTCGCTTGCAATGCCTTCATCTTCTGCCACCTGTAATGTCTGTAAGGAAACGAGCAGCTCCATGCTGGGATCCACACTGAGCCAGGAGATCTCCCCGAGCCGGGCCTGCAGGTCAGCTTCTGGTTGCTGGAAACACCCAGGGGAATGATGACCCTGCCTGTGCAGGCAGTGCTCACCGCCTGGGAGGCTGAAACAAGCGCCCTTCATCAGTGCTTGCAGAGGAGCCGTTCCCAGGCATTCATCCCTGGCTGTATCCTGCTGTCCCTGTTCCCTCGGACCCGGGAATCTCACATCAGTGAGTGATATTCTTCCCAAAGAGGAGCTGTGAGAAAGGGGCACCCTCTCATTCCCTTGGGATCCTGAGGTGTCCACTTCATTCGTTCTTATTGGAAAGAAAGAGAAACCCAAGGTACTTAGGTCAAGCAGAGATTCACTGTCCATGGAGAGGCCTCTAGATCTGGAGTCCAAGCTGGATTCCCCCTGAGCTGTTCTGGATGCTTGACAGTTGAGATGTCTGTTTGGAAACTGCATTTCAGTGTATGGGGTGAAAGTACTGCTGTCTTCTTCCTCCTCCTCTTTCTCCAGTGATGACGATGATGATGATGATGATGATGATGATGATGATGATAATGATGATGTTGATGATGGGGAAGAAGCCACCCATGGTAGGTTGTTTCTTCCTGAAGTGTTGTTTGTCTTTCTTTGTGATATTGGCTTCTCGGTGCAGATGAGACAGTCCCTGAAGAACTCCTCTTTACTGAGCTCACAGTGGAAGGCTGGTCCAGCAGCTTTTGACTGAGAGAAATCCTACCAGGAGAAAGAAACAAGACACATGGATAGCGAGTTAGTGATGCCCTTTACAGAAAAGTTTGGATAGAGGACAGCTTACTTACAATGGGACTAATGAACACAAACTAGGAAGTGCAGAACTCCCAGTTACCCTCTGACAATCAGTGAGACCTGGACGCAGGAGGGGACCTCCCAGTTGGGCCATACCAGAGCGTGAGGCATCTTCTTTCCCTTAACGTCTTGTGTCAACAAGCAGGTGATGAAGGCACTTGTCAGAAAGATGGGGAGGACAAACACAGGGATGGTGGCAGAAAACAGGAACTTCCATTCCACTGCTGAAAAAGACAAAACCGACGTCCTGCTGATGGTATATTTTATAGTAACAGCGGGCTCTATACTCAGCTTTGCTTTCCCAAATCTCACTGATTTTGTCTTTCCAAAATCTCAATGATTTTTAGGCTCAAGATCTGTGTTCTACAGATGCAGAAAGGGGAAAACAGAGTTGTCTAAGATGAAATTTAAGTGAGAGTCACAGCCACAAAGGAGTGTTGATCCCACCAGTGCCTTACTTGGCACTGTGAAAAATGAGGCTTTATTCACATACATTTCAGGATAAATTTGAGTATTCCTGAGATTTCAGTGTGAGCCTCACTCAAGGGCAATATTTCAGGATTATCAGAAGGTATTTCAGGGTTTGATTATTCTAATGCAAACGTTGCTACCGAAAGCAGGAACCTTACACTAGAAGCTCCGGTCAGTCAACTTCCCAGGAAGCCCATTTTTTTCAGCTGAAAGGCTAATTTGGGTGGAAATCTTTGCCTTCAATGTGCCATTTGATGTCTCACCGCATCCTGTCCTCAGCAGGGCCATACCTTTGTGGTTCAGCAGCACACACACCGGTCGGGAGAATTTGCTGTGCTTGAAGTCAATGTTCTGGAAGGAAGATCTGGCACTTAAGCAGTAGTTGCCTCTAAGGGCAGTGGCATCGATGCTCACTGTGTTCTTCCTAAAGATGCCTTCATACTGCTTCTGCTCAGAAACACAAAGAACAGAGGCTTGGATAATTGATTCTTTCATCATTTGGGTGGTTCTCTACCTTTTTAGCCCTCATTGTGAGTGGCTCAGTGGTTGGAAAGTGCGTGGAGAGGCACTTATATCTTGATTGCTGTTTGTGGCAAGCA